TGTGTTTCATCACCCAGCTCCTTGGTGAACCAGGGAGATGGTGTGTCTCGACGCAACGAGATGGGGCGTTCGGGAGCGATCGTATCTATCGCCCTGGTCATCTCCCTGTTGTAGTGATCGACCAAGGCGTCGACAGGAACGCCAGGCTCCATGGCAGGAAGAACCCCAAGATTCTTCAGGAATCCCTCCGGATCCATCAGTCTCTTGGGGCGGACCATCTTAATTTGTCCTCCACCCCTGCGGAGGTTAGCGGTCGCACACAGTCTAAAACTGATCAGATAATGGTCAGACCATGACACAGGAAGGATGTTTTGTTCTTCCACTCTGACCCTTACACTGTCCGCCACAAAAACTAGGTCGAGTGTATGTCCAGCCTGATGGGTGGGTCCAGATATAATTTGTGAAAGCCCCATGGTCGTTATGGCGGCCATGAAGTCCTGAGCCGCACCAGTCAAGGAGGTCTCAGCATGGATGTTAAAATCTCCCAGCACAACCAGATGCTGGGAGATCAAAGCTGAATTGGAGACCACATCTGTCAGCTCAGGCAGGGAAACTGCTGAGTCGCGGGGTGGGCAGTGCACCAGCAGAAACCCCAAGCTATCACGACTCCCTACCCTCAGGTGGATGCACTCGAACCCAGATTATTACGGAACAGAGCATCTGACCACAGCGATCACCACTGGGACCACCTTTACTGGTTTGTGCCAGAATCTTTGCAGTATTATTATTATTATTATTATTATTATTATTATTATTATTATTATGCAAGTCAGAACAGGGACATTTATTTAAAGGTAAAGGTAAAAGTTGTCCCCTGACATTAAGTCCAGTCATGTCCGACTCTGGGGGGTTGGTTCTCATCTCCATTTCTAAGTCGAAGAGCCAGCGCTATCTGTAGACACCTCCAAGGTCATGTGGCCGGCATGACTGCATGGAGTGCCGTTTTAAAGTGTAGTTCCAGCCAAATGTGTGTGTTCTTAATGTATGTAAGTTGGAACAGGGACTTTTTAAAGTGTAGTTCTGTGTCCAGGTTGGCTCATGAGGTGCTCTGCTATAGCTGACTTCTCTGGTTGAAGTAGTCTGTAGTGCCTTTCCTGTTCCATAATAATAATAATAATAATAATAATAATAATAATAATAATAATAATAATAATAATTGTTTATATCCCACTTTTCTCTCATGAAAGGATGCAAAGTCCTGGACACAGAATATTATTTGATTCATGTTTGGGCACTGCATTTGGTCTCAAAAGCAGTTTGCAGCAGAACTCAAATGAGAAGTTAGTGTTTTAAAGCTCCCATGAGCTCAATAAGCTAATTTCACAGCCTTTGGAGCCCAGCTTTTCTTTCTGACCTTCCTTTATGACTGATAGGTTGGACATATTGCAGTCATAAATTCTCCGTTGTGTGGTGGGTTCATTAAGTTGTGTAACTGTATCGTCGCTGGCCTTGTTATTAGAACTCGGCTGAACTGGGATTTATATCTGACTTGCTGTTTCCATGGAAAGACTTCGACATTTAATGAGACCATATTTCTCATAAAGCCTCTCTCCTCCTGGAATTTCAGATGGGTTTCAAGGGATGGTTTGATTCTGATTACAATAAGGGAGAATTCCCTGTTTACTATACCAGTTAATACACCATAATGCAAGAAGAGCTCTGTCCAATGTCCCATTCTGCGGTCAGCTCGGAATTTCTGGAAACTCCAAGTGGACTTTGGTCCTTGCTTACTGTTACCTCCCAGCTAATATCCACTGGCTGCTTCCTTTGATTACACTAACACAATGTTTGTTCCCGGGTAATAAATGTCATTTTCTAATTAGTTCTATCATAAAAAGTATAGGAAAAGTTTATTTAACTGCAAAAACTTTGTTTATGGGGGACACCCTGCAGCATACTTTGCTATAGTTTGTCAATTGGAATATTGTGTCCAATTCTGGGCACCACAATTCAAGAGAGATATTGACAAGCTGGAATGTGTCCAGAGGAGGGACTAAATGATCAAGGGTCTGGAGAACAAGCCCTATGAGGAGTGGCTTAAAGAGCTGGGCATGTTTAGCGTGAAGAAGAGAAGGCTGGGAGGAGACATGACATCCATGTATAAATATGTGAGGAAGTCACAGGGAGGAGGGAGCAAGCTTGTTTTCTGCTTCCCTGGAGACTAGGACAAGGAACAATGGCTTCAAACTACAAGAGAGGAGATTCCATCTGAACATGAGGAAGAACTTCCTGACTGTGAGAGTGATTCAGCAGTGGAACTCTCTGCCCCAGAGTGTGGTGGAGGCTCCTTCTTTGGAAGCTTTTAAACAGAGGCTGGATGGCCATCTGTCAGGGGTGCTTTGAATGATATTCCTGCTTCTTGGCAGGGGGTTGGACTGGATGGCCCATGAGGTCTCTTCCAACTCTATGATTCTATGAATATCTCATCGAATCTCAAGCAATTCAACATAGTTTGTGGCAGCCACAAGAATGAAGTTTCCAGAAATAAAGTATAACTTTTGGGAAATGGCATTCACAGTCTTTTGGAAAGGCATGACTTTGTTAGAGATTGTAACCTTTTTAAAAGTATGATTTTCCTAAGAAGATTTAAAAACTCGCTTGAGTCAACCTTCTCCTTAGTGGTAAATATCCACTAGTATTCATGCAAGGCAATTAGGTTTCTCAGCTGTTAGACTGATTTACCTAGATATTTCTTTGAACTATTGGGAGCAAAGATATCCCAATGCACAAAAAACATATAGCACAGGATTGCTATAGTTCAAAGTATAGTTTTCTGGGCTGTATTACTGTAACTCCTGAGTATTAGTAGATGGCAAAGGAATGTAGTTTCTGCTTGCTTGAGAGCAACTAAAAATACGCATAACTAATACTATAAAATAACATACTTTGTTGTTGTTCTTTCGTTCAGTCATTTCCGACTCTTTGTGACCTCATTGACCAGTCCATGCCAGAGCTCCCTGTCGGCCATCACCACCCCCAGCTCCTTCAAAGTCAATCCAGTCACTTCAAGGATGCCATCCATCCATCTTGCCCTTGGTCGGCCCCTCTTCCTTTTTCCTTCCATTTTCCCTGCATAATTGTCTTCTCTAAGCTTTCCTGTCTTCTCATGATACGGCCAAAGTACTTCATCTTTGCCTCTACTATCCTTCCCTCCAATGAGCAGTCGGGCTTTATTTCTGGAAGTATGCACTGGTTGGATCTTCTCGCAGTCCAAAGCACTCTCAGAGCTTTCCTCCAGCACCACAGTTCAAAAGCATCTATCTTCCTTCGCTCAGACTTCCCTATCGTCCAGCTCTCACATCCGTAGGTGACTATGGGGAATGCCATTACTTTAACTATGTAGATCTTCGTTGCCAGTGTGATGTCTCTACTCTTCAATATTTTAACGTGATTGGTCATTGCTCTCCTCCCGAGAACATACTATACCATTCTATAAACTCTGGACCCTTCCAGACAGGCCCTAAATCCCAGGATCTGCTTCCCCAGGCAGCAACCAGCCAGGCCTTGAAACTGCAGGCCATTAAATGCTAATCAAGATAGAAAATTGCAACATTCACATGTACCTCAAGCAGAAAAGAGTTGTTTTTCCCACCTTGGACATTCCACAGATATATAAACCTCACTTATTTTCAGATAGAGCCCTCTGAGGATGCCTGCCATAGATGTGGAGATAATGCTTCTGGAACATGGCCATACAGCCCGGAAAACTCACAGCAACCCATTGATTATGGCCATGAGAGCCCTCAACAACACGTACAGACAATGCTATTGCTGTTGCCCGTTTTTGGTCAAAAGATATTTAGCTACCTGCGCACTTTCTATTTTATCAGTTTTATACTAATTTATGCAATGCTTTTGATACGAAATAAATAGCGAATCAGTTTTTGATCAACTTTAGATTCGGTTTGGTTATTTGGGGTGCTGATTCAGAAAATTCAAAAAACGAAGGGCCCTGAGGCTATTAGGAATTGTGGGAGTTGAAGTGCAAAACATCTGGAGGGCCAAAGTTTGCCCATGCCTGCTTTATTTATATTGCAAAATTACAATTAAGATTGCTGGGATTATATTGGGTGGCATGCACCGTTTGTGATGAAAAAAAAATACCCTTTTTGGAACTGGCAGAGACTAAAGTAAATATCCCCCTGAATTCTTTGGTGTTTTTTTTTTCCTAGGAGAGATTCCAAGCTGGATGGAGGGGATTCTTCTCCGCAACGGTCCTGGGATGCACTCCATTGGAGAAAGCAAATACAACCACTGGTTTGACGGCATGGCTCTGTTGCACAGTTTTACAATAAAAAAGGGTAGGTCCGTGGCTCAAACGTCAAGTGTTGCTTAGTAGTATTCGCAACGCTGGTGTCAAACTCAGGAGGGGAAGATGGCGCATATTAGTTGTTACATGCAGGCCCTGTCATGCTCGTAATACATCTCTTTAATGATATCTGTCACAGCCATTTCAAGGAGGATAAATCTCTTGGCGGCTTTGAGATGAATAGGACCTTTGTGAGACGACTGAACGAATGAACAACAAAAGCTCAGAAAGATGGAGATGCCTCTGACAGCCACAGGATGGAGACACACAAAAGGGGACGGAGAGCAAAGAGTCTCTCTAATAGAAATGGCCAAGGATTTTGATTTGTTTATGAACAGAGTTTCAAGAAACTGTGTAGTCCAAGGCTTTCATGGCCAGTAACACTAGATTGCTGTGAGCTTTCTGGGCTGTATGGCCACATTCCAGAAGCATTATTTCCTGACATTTCGCCCACATCTATGGCAGGCATCCCCAGAGGTTATGATGTCTGTTGAAAACTAGGCAAGTGGGTTTATATATCTGTAGAATAATGTCCAGGGTGGGAGAAAGAACTCTTGTCTGTTGGAAATAGGTGTGAGTGTTTCAATTGGCCACCTTCATTAGCATTAAGTGGCCTTGCAGTTTTAAAGCCTGGTTGCTGTCTGGAGGAATACTTTGTTGGAAGGTGTTGGCTGGTCCAGATTGCTTCCTGTCTGGAATTCCCCTGTTTTTTGAGTGTTGCTCTTTATTTACTGTCCTGATTTTAGAGCTTTTTTAAAAAATACTGGTAGCCGGATGGTAAAAAAGTAACTAAAGAGCAACACTCTTGGCAATGAAAATCTGCATGGTTAAAGCAGTGGTATTCCCTGTAGTAACCTATGGATGCAAGAAGCTGAGCAAAGAAAGACAGACGCTTTTGAACTTTGGTGTTGGAGGAAATTTTTGAGAGTACCTTGGACTGCAAAAAGATCAAATCAGCCCATACTTCAGGAAAGAAAGTCCAACTGCTCACTGAAAGGAAGGATATTAGAGGCAAAGATGAAGTATTTTGGACACATAATGAGAAGACAGGAAAGCTTGGAGATGATAATGATACTGGGGGAAATGGAAGGAAAAAGGAAGAGGGGCCAACCAAGGGCAAGATGGAAGGATGGCTTGATCTTGAAGGAGCTGAGGGTGGCGCCGGCCAACAGGGAGCTCTGGCATGGGCTAGTCCAGGAGGTCACAGAAACGACTGAACAAATAAACAACACATTGAGTTCATACGAAAACCGCCTTTTCTAAATGAAATATGTAGTTGGCCATAGAACGTGGGGTACTATCCACATTCTTCTATGTATCATTGTACATATTTATCAAAGCTTTTTCCCTTGAGCAACATTTTTAGTGAAAAGACAGGACACAAAGAAGGAAATGAATGTTTCAAAGGTTGCACTGTTCAGTGATGGTTCCACTGCCCAGAAGCCAAATTGCCATCAATTTTACCATTCCGTATGGTTGCGTATATTAAAATTAGGATGGCAGAGCAGTTGCTACCGCCCATCCTTTGCATGTTATGCCATGCCTTGTTTGTGGAAACACCTACTGAAGCCCCCAGTGTTTCCTTTTCAGCTGGCAAAGAAGTAAATGCCACTGCCTGCCATTGTGCAGGATTTGGGTCTGAAGCCTGAGTGCTAAAGTAGGTCACTGTGACAAGGAAAGCTTGTGAAACTCACTGCGGTCTATTCATTGGAATGGCCCCAGTCGGTGGGCCCAGAAGAAAGTGACCTGGCATTACCCTGGGACAAATAGCAATGGTTGGGACAGTTGCTTTCTCCAAAAGACTAATATTCCCAGGACTCCCATCATTTCTAGCGTTACCAAGAATCACACAGACTGGGGATTCTGGGAGTTATAGACCAAAAAGTAACAGGTCCTGAGCTCTAGTCAAGCAACCCAAGAGGATTTTTTTCTTGCTTCTCAGGGAACATCTACAGCAGGGGTCCTCAAACATTTTAAACAGAGGACCAGATCACAGTCCCTCCAACTATTGGAGGGCTGGATTATAATTTGAAAAAAATGAATGAATTCCTATGCACATTGCACATATCTTATTTGTAGTACAAAAACTCTCAATATATGCAATAATTAAAATGAAGAACAATTTTAACAAATATAAACTTATTAGTATTTCAATAGGAAGTGTGGCCCTGCTTATGGCTGATGAGATATTGTTGTTGTGTGCTTTCAAGTCATTTCAGACTTAGGTTGACCCTGAGTGAGGGCCGGGTAAATGACCTTTAAGGGCCGTATCCGGCCACCGGGCCTTAGTTTGAGGACCTCTTATCTACAGTGTAGAATAAATGTTGTTTGACACCACTTTAACTGCCATAGTCCAATGGGATGCAGTCATATGAGTTGCAGTTTTGGAAGGCCTTTAGCCATCTCTGTCAAAGAGCTCTGGCAAGTGCAGGTATGCGTATCTTCCCTGTTTATTTACATGCAGAGACTGGGAAGTTAATTTTAAACTCGTTCTCATAACATTATGTAACAAAATTTGAAAAAAAAGCCCTGTTCCTGGTTTGAAAGTGTTATTTCCTGTTTAATTGTGTGGTCCTTACTTTGAAAGTACAGTGTTTCCTCACTTATCGCAGGAGTTCAGTTCCAGGACCACCTGCAACAAGTGAAAATCCACGAAGTAGAGCACCATATTAATTTTAATATTTATACATTATTTTATTAATTTTATATATTATTTTCTTACCCGCACTTCCTTACCCACCTCCCGGCCCATCCCAAGGGCACCAGCCTGCCTCCCTGGCCTTCACAGAGCCTCCGGAGCCATGCAGGCAACAGCAGGCCAGGGAGGCAGGCCTTCCCCGCCATGCCTCAGGCCACCGCACTTCCGGGATCCCTGGCCTCCACTGGACATAAATATTTAATGTTTTACTTTTTTATAAATATTTTCAAAAACCCACAAAACAGCGAGTCCGCTAAAAGCGAACCTCAAAAGTAGCACGGGAACACTGTAGTTGTTCTACTCCAGAATTTTTTTCAGTTGGTTGAATTGGTTGAAAATCTATGAGATATTCATTGAAAGGGGAGTGTCAGAAGGATCACCAAAGGCTATCAGAAAACACAGTATTTTCTGTTGGTCATGGGATTCTGTGTGGGAAGTTTGGCCCAGTTCTATCATTCTATCATTGGTGGGGTTCAGGGTGTGCTTTGATTGTAAGTGAACTGTAAATCCCAGCAACTACAACTCCCAAATTTCAAGGTCTATTTTCCCCAAACTCCACCAGTGTTTACATTTGGGCATATTGAGCATTCATGCCAAGTTTGGTCCAGATCCATCATTGTTTGAGTCCACAGTGCTCTCTGGATGTAGGTGAACTACAACTCCCAAACTCAAGGTCAATGCTCACCAAACCCTTCCAGTATTTTCTGTTGTTCATGGGAGTTCTGTGTGCCAGGTTGGGTGCTTGTGCCAAGTTTGGTCCAGATCCATCATTGTTTGAGTCCACAGTGCTCTCTGGATGTAAGTGAACTACAACTCCCAAACTCAAGGTCAATGCTCACCAAACCCTTCCAGTATTTTCTGTTGTTCATGGGGGTTCTGTGTGCCAGGTTTGGTTCGATTCCATTGTTGGTGGAGTTAAGAATATTCTTTGATTGGAGGTGAATTATAAATCCCAGCAACTACAACTCCCAAATGACAAAATCATGCACCCCCCCCCCCCCAACACCACCAGTACTCAAATTTGGGCATATCGAGTTTTTGTGCCACATTTGGTCCATTGAATGAAAATGCATCCTGCATATCAGATATTTACATTACTATTCAAAAGAGTAGCAAAATTATAGTTATGAAGTAGCAACGAAAATAATCTTATGGTTGGGGGTCAGTACGACATGAGAAACTGTATTAAGGGGTCGCAGCATTAGGAAGGTTGAGAAACACTGTCTTATTCCCTAATATAATGCCAATTGTTGCAATGCTTGTTACTTTTACATTGTTTTCTGATGCTTTTTAAAGAAATAACCCTTCAGAGTGATAGGAAAATGACATAAAAGTTGAACCATTGCTTTCAAAATGCTTCTTGCCAAGGCCCTCAAAGCAATGGTGGAAAATAATTAGAAATACTTGCTTGTTACTCCAATAAAGTACATAACTTTGCCCCTAATCCTTAAGATTCATTTTGAAATATGCTGTCATTTTGAAATGTGATGATATATGTCCCTGTTGCAATATAATTTTAAACATAAATGAGAAGACACTAATTGATACAGCTGTCATGTGACGAGGTATTTTATAAAGTTTTTAATTAGTGTCAAAGTATGATGCTAATTGGTGTCTAATTTAATGTACATTTTAATGTGTATGATTCATTCTGTTTTTAGTGGAACTTGTTAGAATGACAAAAGAAGTTGCCTTTGCCTCCCAATCACCGGAAGTAAAGCATAATGTAAACAAATAAATAAATGTGCTGTTCGCATTGGGAGGCATCATGCAATATAGTTCTGTTTGCTGTCAAAGGAAAATGGTTGGTGGGGAGATCAAGGGGTCAGTTAAAGAGTATCTGCTAGCAGAGATTGTTGCTTTGCTTTGCTAAATGGAAGGATCTGCCTAATACTGCGACCCACCTATCTGGAAGTTAAATTCCACACTTAACCTGGTATCAGTGGGGTTCTACTCAACCGGTTTGTCCCCAGACAGAACAGGGACATTTTAAAGTGTAAAAAGGTAAAGGTTGTCCCCTGACATTAATCCAGTCATGTCTGACTCTGGGGTGTGGTGCTCATCTCCATTTCTAAGCCGAAGAGCCAGTGTTGTCTGTAGACACCTCCAAGGTCATGTGGCCGGCATGACTGCATGGAGTGCCGTTTTAAAGTGTAGTTCCAGCCAAATGTGTGTGTTCTTAATGTATGTAAGTTGGAACAGGGACTTTTTAAAGTGTAGTTCTGTGTCCAGGTTGGCTCATGAGGTGCTCTGCTATAGCTGACTTCTCTGGTTGAAGTAGTCTGTAGTGCCTTTCCTGTTCCATAATAATAATAATAATAATAATAATAATAATAATAATAATAATAATAATAATTGTTTATATCCCACTTTTCTCTCATGAAAGGATGCAAAGTCCTGGACACAGAATATTATTTGATTCATGTTTGGGCACTGCATTTGGTCTCAAAAGCAGTTTGCAGCAGAACTCAAATGAGAAGTTAGTGTTTTAAAGCTCCCATGAGCTCAATAAGCTAATTTCACAGCCTTTGGAGCCCAGCTTTTCTTTCTGACCTTCCTTTATGACTGATAGGTTGGACATATTGCAGTCATAAATTCTCCGTTGTGTGGTGGGTTCATTAAGTTGTGTAACTGTATCGTCGCTGGCCTTGTTATTAGAACTCGGCTGAACTGGGATTTATATCTGACTTGCTGTTTCCATGGAAAGACTTCGACATTTAATGAGACCATATTTCTCATAAAGCCTCTCTCCTCCTGGAATTTCAGATGGGTTTCAAGGGATGGTTTGATTCTGATTACAATAAGGGAGAATTCCCTGTTTACTATACCAGTTAATACACCATAATGCAAGAAGAGCTCTGTCCAATGTCCCATTCTGCGGTCAGCTCGGAATTTCTGGAAACTCCAAGTGGACTTTGGTCCTTGCTTACTGTTACCTCCCAGCTAATATCCACTGGCTGCTTCCTTTGATTACACTAACACAATGTTTGTTCCCGGGTAATAAATGTCATTTTCTAATTAGTTCTATCATAAAAAGTATAGGAAAAGTTTATTTAACTGCAAAAACTTTGTTTATGGGGGACACCCTGCAGCATACTTTGCTATAGTTTGTCAATTGGAATATTGTGTCCAATTCTGGGCACCACAATTCAAGAGAGATATTGACAAGCTGGAATGTGTCCAGAGGAGGAGGACTAAATGATCAAGGGTCTGGAGAACAAGCCCTATGAAGAGTGGCTTAAAGAGCTGGGCATGTTTAGCATGAAGAAGGGAACGCTGGGAGGAGATATGTTGCAATTTGATTCCTGGTGCAAACTTACAGAGGACTTCATCCCACAAGATAACTCAAGCATTTTGGATAGTTGGTTTTCCCTTAAGCCCTGTTTGGAAATTAAACATAAGATTTTCCTTCTCTCTACTTTCTTTAAGATTTATCCATTTGATTTGCCATCACATGGTAAAGACTTGTTTTCTCCACTGTCCCTCCTCCATTTTCTTTTTTTTAAAAAACTTATTTCTAATCTTGAGAGTTTAACGTACAGCCCAAAAGGGTTATTTTTAAGTTGCAGGGGGGGGGGGGGGGGGGTGAAGCTCTCTTATATGTTTCTCTCTGCTAGCCTTTTGATAGGCAAAACAAAAGCCTGACAGCACAGTAGGAGTTTCAGAAAGGTAATTGAGGACGCTTCCAGACAGGGCTTAAACCCATGATGTAGTGGGTTTAAGACACCTGCTTCGTTGTGGGTTTAAGTTCTCAAGCCCTTCCCAAAATCCCAGGCTTTCCCAGTTGGGTGTTCCCATCCTACCAACTTCCAAAAGCCTGGATAACCAAGAAGGGCTCCCATCCCCTCCCCACCCACCCTCAAAAGATCTTAAAATAAAGTAAAACTTACTGGGCTGCCATGCTGCCTCTCCGGCAGGTCTCCTAATTTATTTATTTATTTACTTTACTTGTATACCGCAGTTTCTCAGCCTAACAGGCGACTCAACGCGGTTTACAACAAGGATAAGATCAATCAACGATATACAATTTAAAACCATTAGAGCACAATATACAATATTGACACAACAATAACAACACAATGCATCTCATAACTAGAGTCGTGATCCAAATTCGTCGTCCATATTTCCATTCCTGTAATCGTCACATTCATTGCACTGATTAACCAAATGCCTGTTCAAACATCCAAGTTTTTAATCTCCTTCGGAACACCATTAGCGAGGGGGCTGATCTTACCTCCATGGGAAGGGCGTTCCACAGCTGAGGGGCCACCACAGAAAAGGCCCTGTCTCTCGTCCCCGCCAGCCGCACCTGTGAAGCAGGCGGGATAGAGAGCAGGGCCTCCCCAGAAGATCTAAGACCCATCGCAAACTAGGTTCCTGCGGGAGAAAACCTTGCTAGCATGTCCCTGACGTCATGAGACTCCGCCTCTCGCCCCGCCCCTTTCTCCGCCCCTTTCTCTTTGCCAGCATGGTTTTTCCTTTGCTAGGGCAGCATTGCCCGCATTTTCTCTCAGTTGAATTCTGCCAACTGAGAGAGTATGCTGGGCAATGCTGCCCTAGCAAAGGAAAAACCACGCTGGCAAAGAGAAAGGGGCGGAGAAAGGGGCGGGGAGAGAGGCGCAGGCTCATGACGTCAGGGACATGCTAGCAAGGTTTTCTCCCGCAGGAACCTAGTTTGCGACGGCTCTTAGGGTCCTGGCGGGCTGATAGGCAGAGATACGTTCGGATAGGTAGCTTGGGCCAGAACCGTTTAGAAATGACACATCAGGAGGCGTGTGTGTGTGTGATTTCTATGCACCAGGAGGCCTGACATAGTGGTGGCATGGTGGCCCAGTAAGTTTTATTTTGGGTGCGGAGGGGGTGGGAACCCTTCTTGGTTATTCAGGCTTTTGGAAGCCTGAAGAATCAAGATGGGCTGTGGAGTGAGTCCCCACAGCCCCATAACTCATTAGACTTCGGCCTTTCAGAATGGCCCGGGACTAATGGGCTATCAAATTAGTTTGGGACAATGCAGGGTTTACCTGCTTTGTCCTGAATTAATTTGCTTTACCAGAGACATTGGCCCTGTCTGGAAGCACCCTATGAATATTGAAAGAAGAAGCTTGCTAAGGTTACAGAGACACTAGAAAATGGCCAGGATTTGCATGCTTGCTATTTTCTCCTGAATGTTTTTGAATATCTTGTTTGCTATACCCCTTCAGTCTTAAAATGGTAATGGCGGCAGAAAAGAGACAAGATTGCCCATCTCGACTCCTCCTTCCATGACAAAGACATTGTTTTATTTACTAACGGGCAAGGGGGGATTCCCATCATATGTTAAATGGGGTGTTTTACATATCTCTACACAGGGAATTGAGGAATAAGTCACTTGCCAATTGATTTAGGAATTGAGGGAAAGACCCACACTTTAGAAATGGCAAGATACCTTTACCCCACATATGAAGCTTGTTTTGTGTGAAGGGCACCATCGGTGGCAGTTTCCAAAGTGTGTAGAAAGGCTTATTTAATTGCATGTGATGAAGTCCTGAGACAGCACCTCCAACTTTTACTAACTGCAAAGCTAACTGGGCCTCACTGTCAGTTGCATAACAGAGGGGGGTCATCTGGGCTATTTTTTGAAGTTCTCCCCCAACTTTCTCCCAAATTTGATCACTTCCTGATTTGAGAAAAAGCTCCTTTTGAGCCTAAAGTAGTTGGGAAGTTGTAAACATTGGCAGGATGTGAACATTTCAGCTGTTATGGGAAGTGGACATGCATGGCTATCAAGTTATGATTCTCTTTTGTTTTCAGGGGAAGTTTTCTATCGAAGCAAATACCTCCGTAGCGACACCTATAACTGTAATATTGAGGCAAACAGAATTGTGGTGTCAGAATTTGGAACAATGGCTTACCCGGATCCATGCAAAAACATATTTGCCAAGTAAGTTACTATTACCAATCTCACACTGCCACGAATGTTTTTATATTTTCTGTTTCACTGCCTTGCCAAGATGCTCTAAGAAACTTTCCATATGTGGTATGTTTTCTCAGTGGTAGAGTGTGGATCAACTACGCTTCAGGGCTGATAATGTAGATGTACACTTCTTGAAGTTAACAGGCACCAAAGACCTTTTGGTCTCAAAATTAATCCCCCAAAGTGAGATGCAATTTGCCAAAACGGTATCTAGTATATACTGTTCATGTAAATCAATGGTTCCCAACCTATGGGCCACAGCCCTTAAAATGAGGTCCAAGGCTCTAGATTATTAAATATAGTTTTCTGTGGGCGAGCAGATGGCGACTACTGGGTGGAATATGTTCTGTATCAGAAACTAGAGCTGATGTGGTCTATTCAATGCAATTTTCTGAATCAGCAACACAAATAATCAAACCAAATCTATAGTTGACCAAAAACTGATACGTAACCCTTTTGGTACTAATGTTGGAGAGTGGTCTCTAGTCAAGAGGTCCCTGGTCAAGTGGTTCCTGTCAAAGTGGTCCCTGGTCAAGTGGTCCTTGGTCAAAGTGGTTCGTGGTCATGTGGTCCCTGTCAAAGTGGTCCCTGGTCAAGTGGTCCTTGGTCATGTGGTCCCTGGTCAAGTGGTCCCTGTTCAAAAAAAGGTTGGGAACAACTGATTTACATCAATATAGATATACTAAAGATGTACTTTTTGCCATATTGTTAATGTCCAATATTATTGTTGTTGTGTGCCTTCAAGTTGTTTCCAACTTATGATATGTTGATACTAAAGTGAACCTTTTGAACGACTTTCCTGGCAAAAACTATTCAGAGACAGTCTTGCCTTCCTTGAAGCTGAGGGAATGTGACTTGCCCAAGGCCACCCGTGAGTCTCCATGGCTGAGCAGGGATTCAAATCCTGGTCTCCTAGTCCAACCTTGAAGCCCCCAGTGGTGCAATGCGTTAAACCCTTGTGCCGGCAGGATTGAAGACCGATAGGTTGGAGGTTCAAATCCAGCAAGAATGCAGATGAACTCCCTCTGTCAGCTCTGGCTCTTCATGCAGGGACATGAGAGGGGTCTCCTACAAGAATGGTAAAACATCAAAACATCCAGGTGTCCCCTGGGCAATATCCTTGCAGATGGCCCATTCTCTCACACCCGAAGAAACTTGCAGTTTCTCAAGTCACTCCTAACATGAAAAAAAAGTCCAGCCTTCAAACCACTGAACCACACTAGCTCCTATTAATACCAATAATGTACAAATAGATGGAGTATTGTTGAATTTATACAACTGGTACTCCTCAATATCCATGTGTTGCTTACTTTCCTATATTCATTGTTATGAGTAGTGAAACATAGGTTTGAAAGTCCAGCCTCGAAAATGTAACCTGAAGTTACCCATAATGTCGAAACACACTTATAACCCTCCAATAACAAACTGTACAAACAACTCAGACATATCTTATCTGCCAAGTAGGCTCAGTTTAAATGTGGTGTCTCAGCACCTGATTATTGCAGTCTGGCTGTTATGTGAATATCACTATGTAACACGATTTTTGTTCCTGGGTTATAAATTTCATTTCCTAATTGTTTCTATCATAAAACATGGAAAAAGTTTATTATACTACAAAAACTTTGTTTTTGTGGGACATCCTGCAGCACATTTTGCTATAGTGCATTAATTATTAATACTAATACTGAAGGCATTAATTATTAATACTACTACTAATAATATGATATTATAATTATATATTTATATTAAATGTAATATTACTAATAATATTACAATATAATGTTATAGTTCAATGTAATATGTAATATTAATATTGTGCTATGGTAATAATATAATATATTGCATTTACTTTTTACTTGTAAGCCGCTCTGAGTCCCCTTCGGGGTGAGAAGGGCAGCATATAAATTGTCATGCGCTAGCATGAGAAGCATGCGGATTGACTCTAGCCCAGTTAACAATGTGTGATGAATTGGCTCATAAAAGAAAAATACATGAGACTTCGGCTTAAAGTAGAAAAGAAAAATTTTGTAGTATTGGCAGCATACAAAACAAAATAGCAGGATTGCTGTTTCCACAAAAGTAACATGAAACAATATCTTCTGAGAAATATCACTACTCAGCTGAGATAAGCAGGAATCCTTGTCCTCTTCTCAAGGCTGTGTCTTCACAGGACATCTGCAGCATAGTCCCCGACAGAACGGCACAGAGGCAAACACGCACAATGGCAAACACGCACAATGGCATTAAGGCACAATGGCAAAAACTAAACACACAGTAGCTATCTTTATACACATGAAAATAATACTCTCAATTAACTCTTCAATTAACTGAAACAGCTGTAGCACAAACAGCCTTGAACCTTACAGTAAGTTAAAGGTATAGCACAAACAACATTGATCCTTACAACAACTTAGATAAAGTACGTTGCAACCTCTTAGTAGCAACATGCCCCTTCACTTTATCTAAGTTACATTATTTACAAATTTTGTTTTAATTCTACTAGGCCTAACTTTCTGGTTGCTTCACCATGCTTAGCTGCCGTTAAAGGTTTTGTAAAAATATCTGCCAAGTTATCTTCAGACCTACAATAAACCATTTTGATAAATCCTTCCTTGATTAAGGTTCTTATATTTTGATACTTCACAGCTATGTATTTTGTTGTATTTTTTAAACTTTCGCTTTCTGACATAGCTATACACGTTTGAGAATCGTCATACACAGTAATAGGCAATTTACATTCTACACCTAAATCATCAAATAACTGTTTAATCCAAAGTAACTCATTTGCAGCTTGAGACAACGCCGCATATTCTGCTTCAGCCGTAGAAACTGCAACAGTTGTTTGCTTTCTGGACCTCCAGCAGATAGGAGATTTTCCATGTAGCACTATGTATCCACTTATAGATTTTCTATCTTTTTCATCAGCAAAAGAACTGTCGGCGTACATTACCAGTTCTTTGTCAGCCTCTTTAGAAAAACACAAACAATAATTAGCAGTTCCTTTTAAATATCTAATCAACCTTTTTAATGCTAGCCAGTCACTTATAGTTGGTTTTGATACTTTCCTACTAAGTAAACTCACTGCATATGCAATATCTGGCCGAGACCAATTTGCAATGTGCAAAAGACTTCCAACAAAAGAATGATATAACTTTGTGTTTTTTAGTTCTCTTGTGTCTTCCAATCTTAAGAAATCTCCTGTTAAAGGAGTTTTAACAGCATTAGCATCTTGTAAACCTGCTTTGGCTACAAGGTCTAAAATTTTCCTTGTTTGATTTAGAAATATCACCCCTTCATTGTTTACTACTTCGATGCCTAAATAATGTTTCAAACATCCCAAATCTTTTAACCTAAAATGTTTTGACAAATACGTATATACAGTTTGTATTTTAGAGTCAGTTTGTGCGGCTATACATAGATCATCTACATAAATTAACACAATTATCTTATCTTTGCCTTCACCTAGTGTATAAACACATGCATCGGCCACACTTTGTTTAAATCCTAATTTCACCAATACTTCATGTATACACTGGTTCCACCTCCGGGCCGATTGTTTCAATCCATACAATGCTTTCCGAAGCCGACAAACCTTTCCTGCTTGAATTTCGTATCCAGGCGCTTGCCTCATATATATCTCCTCATTAATTGTGGCATTTAAATACGCTGTTTCAAAATCAAAATGTTTTAACTTAAATCCTTCTTGCTCAGCTAAAGCAATTATAATTCTCATTGATTCAGCTTTTGCTGTAGGGGCAAAGGTGTTATCATAATTTATGAATTGCTTTTGCGCAAATCCTTGAGCTACTAGCCTAGCTTTATATTTACAACTTCCATCGGGTAATAGTTTCTTCCTAAAAACCCATCTGCACCCAATCACTGGCTTATCTATGGGAACATCAACAATATCAAACACTTCTAAATTTAGCAAAGATTCAAATTCATCGTCCATTGCCTTTTTCCAATTTCTTTGTTCTTCTGGACTACAATTATTTAAATCCTGAAAGGTTTCAGGTTCCATTTCAGGCTGACAAGTCATTACCCCCTGAATCACGAACCTATCTGGAGGTACACCTTTGTTAGATCTTTGTGACCTTCTTGGTATTACAATTTGCTCCTCAGCATCAGCTTCCTGTAAACTTAATTCAGGCTCTTCTTTTATATCATCCTCACTTTGTTCCTCAATGTATTTTTCAGACTCAGATTTTAAATCTATCTTTGATGGCGTATGTTCCTTTAAATGAAAAAACACTTCACTATTCTGATGAACATGTTCCCAACCTGTATTCTTTTCAAAGTTTGCACTTCTTGAAATCACAATTTTATTATTGTCTTTAATAAAACGATACCCCTTGGTATCATCCTGGTAACCGAGAAAACGTAGTCTCTGCCATTTTTTCTGACCTTTTGTTCTAGTTTGTCTAGGTACCAGCACGTTAGCATAGCTTCCAAATATTCTAAGATGTTTTAGAACTGGCCTTTTCTTATGCAACAAATAATATGGAGTATTATTTACACATGAACTCCAACTTCTATTTAAGATATATGTAGCAGTGGAAATTGCTTCTGCCCAATACCTATTAGACATTTTTGCATCTACTAACATGCAGTCTTTCATAGTTTTCAAAACGCCTATTTTTCTTTCTGCCACACCATTCTCAGCAGGTGAATATGGGTTTGTTTTATGGTGTCTAATTCCTCTCTTTCTTAACCAGTCTTGAAATTGTGTCCCCATAAATTCTCCACCACGATCAGTCCTTAAACATGATACCTTAAAAGGAAATCTTCTCTCAACCATGGCTACCCACTCTTTGAATTTACTGAAAGCTTGAAACTTTGATTTCAAAATAATACAATAAGTAAATTGTGAAAAATCATCCACTAACACAAATATAAATTTTGCATTTCCAAGTGAAAGAGGAAATGGTCCTGCTAAATCAGCGTGAACTAATTCAAATGGTCTGGTAGTTGTGTTTAAACTTTTCTTAGGTATTGGATGTGCCTTTACTTTTGCTTTAGAACACACAGCACAGTCTAAATACTTTTGACATGGCTTTACCTCTAAATCAGTCACTTTTGATAGTTTTTGTAGATAATTAAAGTTCACGTGACCAAAAACTCTATGCAAGTAATGAATACAATCATTATGTATAGGTTTGTTATTTACACAGGAAACATTTGGAGAACTATCCTTGTTACTCATCACATATACTTTGTTAACTAATTTACCTTTGGCACATAACTTATTTTCTTTCCATACAGTACACCCAGAACTATTAAGTTTGATGTCATATCCTTGCAGACACAAACTTGATGCACTTAATAAACAAAAATCAAGTTTTTCAACCAACATAACATTATCTAAATATCTTCCTAAACTAGGAACAAATGCTGAGCCTACAAGCTTGCACTCAGCTAATGATCCATCTGCTAAAGTAACATGATTAATATCTGGCTTTTTAGTGTCCTTTAACAATTTTAAGTTATTAACACAATGCTCTGCACACCCAGAGTCAAGTAACCATGTGGCCTCATCATACTTAGCCTTTGATAACACAGTCATTACATCAGCATTTCTTCCCCTTGCATTTCTGTCATGCCACCCAGGGTTCCTCTTCATTTCTTCTTTCTTCTTCTTCTTCTTGGGACAGGCCTTGACAAGATGATTCACATCTCCACAACTGAAGCACCTCCTTACGTTACACACAGCAGGGTTCTTTCTGCATCCAACCCCTTCACAAGCTGCATTTTCTGAAATGGTGTTTGTTTCTTTAAGAAACTGCTTTCTTCTTTCTTCCTCAAGAAGCCTTGCAGAAACCAAATCCAAGGTTAATTGTGCTTCAGGCACACTCTGCATACTGAACACAAAATTGTCCCAACTAGAGTCCAAAGAAGATAACAAAATGAAAGCTTTATGTGTTTCAGTAAACACCATTTGTCTATTTTCCAACTCCATCAACAAATGCCTGAGCTTTTGCAAATGCTCAGTTATGTTGTCACCCCTTTTTAGCTTCAAATTATAAAGCTGCCGGGTCAAAATAATTTTTATGCCAGAAGTTTCAGTTTGATAAACTTCCTTTAACTTCTGCCAACAGTCTGCTGCAGATATAGTGTCCCTTAAGTAAATTAATTGCCCATCCTCAACAGCGAGAAAAATGCTCGCCCTGGCAATTCGGTCTTGCTTTTTTACCTCTTCACTCGAAGCTTCTGTGGGTGGGGTTTCAACCACAGTCCACAAATCTTCTCTTATGAGAAAACTCTTCATTTTCACATTCCAAGCCATGTAATTATCAGCATTTAAACGCTCAAATGGTAAGCTTGCCATATGATGAGCCATAGCTGCTTACTTTTCTATTTAAGCACAAAAAACACACACAAAAAAACTCTCCCAAAGTCTCAGAGTTATGGGCTTTGGAGTCCTTATGCCGCTATGCTGGGCCCATAACCTATGTCATGCGCTAGCATGAGAAGCATGCGGATTGACTCTAGCCCAGTTAACAATGTGTGATGAATTGGCTCATAAAAGAAAAAATACATGAGACGTTGACTTCAAGTAGAAAAGAAAATATTGTTGTATTGGCAGCATACAAAATAAAGTAGCAGGATTACTGTTTCCACAAAAGTAACATAAAACAATATCTTCTGAGAGATATCACCACTCAGCTTAGATAAGCAGGAATCCTTGTCCTCTTCTCAAGGCTGTGTCTTCACAGGACATCTGCAGCATAGTCCCCGACAGAACGGCACAGAGGCAAACACGCACAATGGCATTAAGGCACAATGGCAAAAACTAAACACACAGTAGCTATCTTTATACACATGAAAATAATACTCTCAATTAACTCTTCAATTAACTGAAACAGCTGTAGCACAAACAGCCTTGAACCTTACAGTAAGTTAAAGGTATAGCACAAACAACATTGATCCTTACAACAACTTAGATAAAGTACGTTGCAACCTCTTAGTAGCAACATAAATGTCGTAAACAAACAAACAAATAAATAAATAAATAGTTTTTCGATAAATAGCTCATAGAGTCACAATGAATTCAACATAATTTGTGGAAGCCACAAAAACAAAGTTTATGGAGTATTATAACTATTTTCAAAGTAAGTATTGCACAATGAAAAAGGAAATAACACTTTCAAACCAGGAACAAAAAAAATTTCGAATGTTGTTACATAGTGTAATCTATCACACAGCAAGTGTTGTGCCATCAAATGACATACATCTTTGGGTGAATTGTTTCCTCTTGAACTTGTTTCTCAGTTCTTCAAACTGTACCCTGGAAGGAAAGATTATCCCTGTAGTACAATTTCCTGTCTTCAAATCACAGGGCCTTCTGCTATCTGTCCCACACAATCCCTGAGTTCACAGACAACTGCCTCATCAACATAATGAGAAATGGGGAAGACTTCTACGCTACGAGTGAGGTCAACTTCATTAGGAAGATCAACCCACAAACCCTGGAAACACTGGAAAAGGTAAGCATGGATGAGCAAAATTTAGAATCACCTCTCATTTGTGAAAGAGAGAAATCTTCTGATGCTATGATGTGAAGTTTCATTACTGGAATCCAAAAAAATACCAGTATCTTTTACCAGCATCAGAATGAAAAAAATGGTAAAGGAAGAATGAAGAGACATAGACCTTCAGCATCTTTTTTCATCAACATGTCTGCAGTAAAGTCCAATAAAGCTTGAAACTAGCTGAATCTGCCTGCTTACAACAGGCAAGGTAAACAGCAGATGCCTCTTGAGCATCTAGAAGCTCTCTAGGTGTTTTGGACTTCAACTCCCACAATTCCTGACCTCAGGCCCTTTCTTTTCCCCCTCAGCCACTTGTTATTAGCAATGCTTCTTAAGGCCCATTCAACCTCACTCCTCAGGATGTCTGGTTCTAATTCACTCACCACATCATCAAAGCTATCCTCGATGTTATTATCTTTCCTATGCAGGTCTTCCTTGTAGTCTTGCCACCCTTGTGCTGGCTGATCTCTTCAGCTTCTGTTAGGTCCTTGCCGTCTTTGTTTTTGTTTACTTAGTCAAAGATTACATGTCCAAATTGTTTCATTTTATAAGTGCTTATTGTTAGTTTTGGATAAAAGTTTTACTGGCCTATGTTGCCATAAAGTTTCTGTAGGGCACAAAACTATCCATATTCTTTCCATGTGTTTTCTTCCTCTTGTGCACATTTTGCCCCAAAGGCTGATGGATCTGGAGGGATTCTTAAAGTGTCCTGTCATGTTGGCAGATGATTCTTTTGGGAACGACTGAAAGGCCTTTTCATAATGTAGTGCTTTATTGACTTATCCTTTGCCATTTTAATATATTCACATTACTATATTCACATTCATATATATTTAAATCTATAATTTTAATAGCATTTTAATCATTATTTTTATATGCTCATACTGCTGTCTTTGCATGCAGTTTTTTCTATATTTGTTTTAATTTTTATAAGCAGTATTTGAGTCATACTTCAGAAGAAAGACAGGATATGAATGGGTTGATGGGAGCAACAACAACAATAACACTATGTAACACAAATTTTGTTCCAGGGTTATAAATATAATTTCGTAATTGTTCTATCATAAAAACATAGAAAACGTTCATTAAATTGGGTTGTTGTAGTTTTTTCGGGCTATATGGCCATGTTCTAGAGGCATTCTAGTTCATTAAATTTCAAAAACTTGTTTCAGTGGGGGGGGGGCACACAACATCCTGCAGCATATTTTGCTCTAGTTTTTCGATGAATATCTCATCGAACCTTGTCCAATTCCACCTAGTTTGCGACATCCACAAAAACAGGGTTTCTGGAATATAACTACTTTCAAAGTAACTGTCGCACAATTAAATAGGAAATAACACTTTCAAACCAGGAACAGAAATTTTGTTACGTAGTGTCATAATGCAGTTTTAAAATGTTTGCGATCATCCTGTCTTCTGTGTCAACGTAGGTTGACTACACAAAGTATGTAGCCATCAACCTGGCAACATCCCATCCCCATTATGACAGTGCTGGAAATGTTCTTAACATGGGGACCTCCATTGTGGACAAGGGAAAGACAAAATATGTGATCTTCAAGATACCTTCTACAGTGCCAGGTAGGGTTCCCGAAAGCTCCTTCTTTGTAGGTTTTTAAACAGGGGCTGGATGGCCATCTGCCAGGGGTACTTTGTGCTTTCCTACATGGCAGGGGTTTGGATTGGATGACCCATGCAGTCTCCAGTAGGATGTCAGCCACATATACCATATTGGGTCTTTGATATCCACTGGGTTTTGGTTCCAGGACACCACCTAAAACCAGGAACATTATAGATGTGTTGGTCTCTAACTCCCATTGGTCACACTGACTGAGGGGATGATGGGACCTTCTATGATTGCTAGTTGATCAAATTGAGAAGACTGGTGACGAAAAGTGAATCCCAATACTGCAGAAAATAACAACAACAACAACAACAACAACAATAATATACTTTATTATTTACATTCTGCTCTATCTCCCCGAGGGGACTCAGAGCGGTCTACAGTATACACATATATAGGCAAACATTCAATGCCTTTTGTACAGTGAACAATGACATACAATACACAAACAAAGGCAAAGATTTTTCTTTCCATCTCTGGCATCTGGCGGCAATGCTTAACTCTGGCCATGAGGAGGTGCTCTTGTTCTATTTTCTGTGCCGAGGAGCTTGAGATCCGTCGGCCCTCCTGGTCGTGTTTTGCCAGCATAACTGCAGGGTGCCTTTTTCCTTCCCGATGAGGTGGTACCTATTGATCTACTCACATTATATGTTTTTGAACTGCTAACAGATGTGTTCCCCCCCCCCTTTTTTTAATGTAGTCAGTGAAAAGAAGAAAAAGAAGTCTTGCCTGAAACACCTAGAAGTCCTGTGTGCCATCCCTTCCCGCTCTCTCTTGCATCCCAGCTATTATCACAGCTTTGGCATGTCCGAAAACTATATCATCTTCGTGGAACAGCCATTCAAGCTGGATATACTCAAGATGGCAACTGCCTATATCAGAGGGGTGAACTGGGCCTCTTGCCTCACCTTCCATAAGGATGACAAGGTAAATAGACCGCCTTTTTTGTATGTGGAATGACCCAGTACTGAATTTTTCCTGCTGCCTATAGTATTTGCTTCTTATTGAGTCGTGGTGGCACAATGGGTTAAACCCTTGTGCTGGCTGAATTGCGGACCTGAAGACCTGAAGGTTGGCGGTTCAGATCCATGAGACGGGGTGAGCTCCCATCTGCCAGCCCCAGCTTCCCATGCGGGGACATGAGAGAAGCCTTCCACAGGATGGTAACACGTCCAGGTGTCCCCTGGACAACGTCCTTGCAAACGGCCAATTCTCTCACACCAGAAGTGGCTCCAATGTGCTTCTGCCACGATAAAAAAAAAATCTGCTATTAGCACATCCATTTCCAATGAAGCCTTATGTGCAATAAAATTCAGTGGTATGTGACAGCTCCATATCTTATCAACCTAGTCTTTGGACACACGCAGTGTCTGAAACAGGGAAATGCAATTTTACTATCCATACAAAGCAGTGGTTTCCAACCTATGGACTGTGGGCCACTGGTGGGTCGCGAGACCTAAAATAAACATGGATCTAGATTATTAAGGAGTAGTGTATAAGTGTTATTATTATTATTATTATTATTATTCCTAACCAATAGTTGTTTTTTTACCCATTCTCCAGACCTGGATCCACCTCATCGACAGGAGGACCAAAAAAGTCATATCCACCAAATATTACACAGACGCCATGGTCCTCTTCCACCATGTGAATGCCTATGAGGAAGATGACCATGTAGTTGTGGACATCATCTGCTATACAGACAACAGCTTGTACCAGATGTTCTATTTGAAGAACTTAGACAGTCGGTTTGAGAGCAATGTGAGACTCACCGCCATCCCGTCCTGCAAGAGGTTTGTGCTTCCTCTGCAATGTGACCAGGTAACTCTAAAATGGGGTCCTCTGGTACTGCCCTGAGCAGCTGTTGTAATTTTGCAGTTGTTATATGCCTTTAGGTTGACTTAACTCAAGGTGTCCCTATTGTAGGGTTCTCTGGGCAACATTTCAGAGTGTCGCCCCAAAATAATTTTTTCGCATCTTGTTGAGAAGTTACATACCAATGTATTGAGATTGAATTTCAAGTCCCTTATGGAAGAGTATCTTTCCTGAAAAACGTTCCTATAATAAGCATTCCTGGAAACGCACCAGTTCCAGCAATTCATGTGTGTGTGTGTGTGTGTGTGTGTGTGTGTGAGAGAGAGAGAGAGAGTATATATGTATGTGTGTGTGTGTATATATATGTGTGTGTGTGTATAGAGAGAGAGAGAGAGAGTAGAGTCTCGCTTATCCAACCTCCGCCTATCCGACATTCCATCTTATCTAGTGCTCTCTCCTCCCTCCTTCCCTCTCTGATATCCACACTCCTCTTCTGCTTCTGGATTCTTTCTGCTGGGCCACTCTACCCCCAAGGCATTGCCTTGCCTTAATCCTTTGAGACCCTGCGGTTAGTATTCTAGGTGTCTAGTGTCACATCAGATGAGTAAAAGTAGGATGTTATCTGATGTTTTAGTTTATCCGATATTCTGCCCATTTATGTCGGATAAACAAGAGTCTACTGTATGTATATATATGTGTGTGTGTGTGATGTCTTTTATTAAAGGAAAAGGGATGCTGTTCCTTGTTAATTGTTTTTGAAGATCCATGACATTAAAACCATGTAAAATCTTATGTCAAAACCTAAGGGACAAATTTAGTTCCCCAATCACTGTTTTGTTTTCAGCAATTGTTTTCATTATATTACGTAACACGATTTTTGTTCCTTGGTTATAAATGTCATTTCCTTATCATAAAAGCATGGAAAATATTTATTAAACAGCCAAAACTTTGTTTCTGTGGGAGGGGACATCCTGCAGCACATTTTGCTATTGTTTTTCAATGACTATCTCATCGAGCCTCAACCAATGCAACATAGTTTGTGGCAGCCACAAAAACAAAGTGATATATGACAATTATTTTCAAAGTAAGTACTGCACAATAAAACAGGAATAACACTTTCAAACCAGGAATATATTTTTTCCCAAATTTTGTTATATACTGTTATTGAAAAAGGCTTGATATTTTTTTGTGTTGCCAAAGACCTTCTGCCATCTCATCATCTTGTTTCCCACATACGGACTAAACAAAGAGAAGCCCTGCTGTTACCTCACTCATGTGCACATGATTCCTTTGTTTCAAACAGGGAAGCGCTATCAGAAATGTATTGCCTTGGAAGCAACTCTGAAATGGCATGGTTGTTTTGTAGGAAGGACTCCTTCTGCCCTGCCCATCAACCTGTCTGACGGGTTTCAGCCTACCGCATGGCTGAGACATTGTTCCTTGCTATGCCTTTGAAACAGAGATACTCTGAAGGCATGAAAACAAAGATGTGATTGCACCATATGTCTCCTCATCCTCATGTTTTCATCCTTCCAGCCCTACATTCTAAGAATTCTGGAGCATAATTGATTTCACCCATTTAGAACAGTGTAAAAGACACTAAAAATACAAATGTGGCACATTAAGGCAAGGGATTGTAATCAGTTGAAATAGTTGAAGACAATGTAAAGCTATGTACATGTAGAGACTGAATAAAGTTATTATTATTATTATTATTATTATTATTATAAGTTTTAACTTGGTCCCACAATGAAGCCAATGTCGGCACCAGGCGGGCTTCTAAGGGAAGCGCATGGCACTGCCTGGGTGCCACAACAAAGACATTCTCCCACATTCTTCCACTGAAAATTTCTCTGTATTTACTGGACCCTCTGACTCTAACCCTCTGACTCTAAAACACCACACATTGAGTAGGAAAACAATCCTTTTTTATTGAAGATAAGTAAAAACAGCAAGGTCAAAATATGCTTTAAGAAAATAGATAAGTCCAACTAGGTAGAAAGATAAGCAGGAACAAAGTATTCCAAGGTAGGGTTCAGCAAAGTTCAAAAGCAAAATCCAGACTTTTGTAATAACATCCAAAGAACCAGGAAAACATTAATCCACAGCATGAGTATATAATCACAAGAGACCAAGAGTCCAACCATAAACAAGAAATCCTTAACATGAATCTTCCAAGCAAGACTTCCATGGGACAAGAACAAGGACTTAGCAGGATTCTGAAACGATGCTTCATCTGACTATATTTTCCATGGCGGGAACTTTATATCCCTCCGTTAGGCTATTCCAAGCACCCAGAAACTGGTTTCGTTTTGCTTGACAGCCTCTCACCCTTGTCTCTCGAACCCTGGCAGAATGGTGAAGGCCTTGGCCGAGCTGTCTGTTTTGGCTAATTTCCAGCCGTCTGTCTATATCAGTGGTTCTCAACCTGGGGTCCCCAGCTGCTTTTGACCTTCAACTCCCAGAAATCCTAACAGCTGGTCAACTGGCTGGGATTTCTGGGTTGTAGGCCAAAAACATCTGGGGACCCCAGGTTGAGAACCACTGGTTTATGTGCTTATTATCTATCTGCTCATTAGTTTCTCCAGGTGCCAAGTTGTTTTCAAACCCAAAATCCTAGGAGCTTTCTGGTTCACGGAGTAAACTATCATTCCTATACCCTGTAGGAACATTCCCTTGGGCAACTACATTTTGAACCAGTGTCCCTATGTCATTCTCTGCATTAATATCATTGACCAGACCATTGCCATCTTGACCATCAGTGACATCATTCCCCACATCTAAAGCACCTTGATCTTGAAACACAATCACAGGCTGAACTCCAACAGTACTAATGGATGGAGTATTGTTGAATTTATACAACTGGTACTCCTCAATATCCATTATTTGCTTACTTTCCTACATTTATTGTTATGAGTGGTGAAACATATGTTTGAAAGTCCAGCCTCGGAAATGTAACCTTGCAAATTACCCATATTTCCTCTGTCAGAGGACAAAGCCATAAGCCCCGGGCATCTTGCACTATATTACTCAAGTTGGCCTGCTGCCTTCAGGCCTGGTGCAGAATACTGTTCCATCATCAGTGTTGACGAAAGAGCCAGCACTTAGGGCTCTTTCACATCAGACAATTACACAGCTGTGATGCCACATTAATTGCCATGTTTCCATGTTGGTATCTTGGGATTAGTAGTCTGGTGAGGCACTAGAACAGAGCTTTCCAAATTGCATATAACAACACATTAGTGTATTGGCTGCGGTGTGGAGGTGTGCTGCGGCAACATAACAAAAATCTTGGAAATCTATTATATTAAGAATCATATATTTTTTAAAAATATCAATGAAAGGTTTCCATGAAATCCGCTGTGTCCCCATGCATCTTGTTATTACAATTTATGTGGGTGTCTATATCACTTAAAAGGGCTTGGTTTAACATCTGAATTCCCAGTGAAACTGAATTACTGTGTTGCAAAATGATGCAAGTCTAAAAAGTGTGTCACCAACATGAAATGTTTGGAAACCTTTGCACTAGAGCTCTCTGGTTGAGAAGTATAAATACTTCCCCATAAACCACAGGCATTTTGAATTGTTCTTCTGGGATGCTTTACATATTCACCCTTCTTGAATAAGACTGGACAAAAATAGGTATATTCTTCTGCATTTAGGTTAACTGTTGTGTCTTAGGCATGACTAGTAATATTAAAATCCAGTCATCCGATATCTCCATCATCATAAAGTCGTAGCCGGGTCATTTTACCAATCGTAGCCGGGTCATTTTACATTCAGAATGTCATTAATCATAAAATGTTGTTTTCGGATGTAAGTGGGATGTTTGTAACCCGGGAACTGTCTGTATCTATGTTTTAGGATTCAGAGATAGGCTCAAATTTGGTCAAGCTTCCATCAACCACTGCAACTGCCCTGAAGGAAAAAGATGGTAGCATCTGTTGCCAACCTGAGATATTGTGTGAAGGTGAGAGACCATTATAAGAAGTGGGGAATGGTTTTTTTTCAATATCATATTTTGTCTGAAATGTCACAATTTCAAGCTGCAGAGTAACAAATATATTAGTGCTTGCAGATCTATCTTATGAGGAGAGAAATAAGAATGTTGTTATGTGTGTTCCTGCCACAAAGGCTTGGCATACGGTTTCCCAGAACTCTGGCCGCATTTCATTTTTCTCAGTTTGTATGGGTTACTGTTTATTACATTATTATATTAACTCCTTTCCTTCCTTCCAAGGATATCATGTATCAGCATTACACAAAATATCAGTCTATGGACAAGTGCCAATTTACAGGTGTAAGTTACTGGTCCATGGCAAATTTCTGGGCGGGAAAGGAAGATAGGGAGGGAAAAAGAGAGGGAGGGAGAGAGGGAGGAAGAAAGAGAAGGCGGAAAAAAGGAAGAGAAGGAGCGAGGAAGGGAGGGAGGGAGGGAGGGGGAGAGAGGGGGGAAGGAAGAGAAGGAAGATAAGGGAGGGAGAGAAGGAGGAAAGAAAGAGAGAGAGAAGAAAGGAGGAAAGAAGAGGGAGGAAAGGAAGGAGGGAGAAAGAGAGAGGGGGAGAAGGAAGAGGGAGGAAGGAGGAAGGGAGGGAGGAGGAAGGAAGGGAGGGAGGAAGAGAGGGAAAGAGGGAGGAGGAGGAGGAAGGAAGGGAAGGAAGGAGGAAGGAAGAAGAAGAGAAGGGAGGAAGGAAGGAAGGAGGGGGAAGAAGGAAGGAAGGGAGGAAGGAGAAAGGAAGAGAAGGAGGGAGGAAGGAGGAGAGGGAGAAGGAAAGGAAGAAGGGAAGGAGGAAGGAAAAAGGAGGGAGGAGGGAGGGAAAGGAGGGAGGGAGAAGGAAAGGAGGAGAAGGAAGGAAGGAGGAAGGAAGGAAGGAGAAGGAAGAGGAGAGGAGAGGAAAGGAGGGAGGAGGAAGAAGGAGGAGGGAGGAGGAAGGAAGGAAGGAAGGAAGGAAGGAAGGAAGGAAGGAAGGAAGGAAGGAAGGAAGGAATTGTAGCCAATAAGCAGAAATATTAGGGGTTTCCATTTTAGTTCTGGTAAGATTTAGTCCATTGGCACCAATGGAGAAATTTAGAGGCTTCTTTCTCTGTCATTTTTAGGCCTATGAGCATGAAAACTATCTCACTTGTAGGCCACATTTACCGCTGTGAGCCTGAAAAGTTTCAGAACGTTTCACCAATCCACTGATTTTTGAGAATTTTTAAAATAGTTTTTAACCATATATTTTTTAAAAAACTCTCAAGAGGAGGTTCTGGAAATTGAAGCCCCAAGCCTCTCACCAGGCTCATTTCCGAGGATTTGGCGGGCGAATCCTCTGAATCTCCTGAATGTAATATACCAAAACAAGATCAAACACCCGTAAGAAATATGAAATGTCTAATTGAGAAAAGGAGGGGACACTCCTGTTCATTGTTGCTATCTCTGAATGCCCTGAACCTGTTTGTCACCTGTGTTTATCAATTGTTTTGTTTGACCTCCAGGAATCGAACTGCCTCGTATCAACTATGATTACAATGGCAAAAAGTACAGGTATATCTTTGCTACCGAGGTTAAATGGAGCCCAGTCCCCACAAAGGTAAACTACCCCTAAGCTTACTTCCAGTTCTGGTCTGAAAATATGAAGCAATAAAAGTATGGATTGTGGTGAAGCGTTTCTGTTGTCCTAAACCTGCCCCTTTTCAACTATGCCATCAGCTCAGTCTGGTTACATTCCCTCAACAAGACAAACATGGGTTTGCTTTAATAAGAGGTACAAATTTATTTTTATTTGTCATGTCAGGAGCAAGTTGCTTCTGGTGTGAGAGAATTGGCCGTCTGCAAAGACTTTGCCCAGGGTACGCCTGGATGATTTGATGTTTTTATCATCCTTGTGGGAGGCTTCTCTCATGTCCCTGCATACAAATAGAACCAAGTAATGGTCGGAATCACTGGGTTGCTTTGAGATTTTCGGGCTGTATAGCCATGGTCCAGAAATATTCTTTTCTGGCGTTTCACCCACATCTATGGTAAGCATCCTCAGAGGTTGTGAGGTCTAACACTTCCAAAAAAGAATTCTTCCGGACAGGAAACAGCCAGGCTTTGAAGCTGCAAGGCCATTTAATACTTATCAAGGTGGCCAATTGCAACATTCACACTTGCCTCCAACAGACAAGAGTTCTGTCTCCCAACTTGGACATTATTTCACAGATATATAAACCCTGTTTTCCTAGTTTCCAACAGACCTCATAACCTCTGAGGCTGCCTGCCATAAATGTGGGTGAAATGTCAGAGAATGCTTCTGGAACATGGCCATACAGTCCCGAAAACTCACAGCACTGCAGTCATTGGAAGGAAGGAAGAAAAAGAGGAAGGTAAGAGAGAAGGAAGGAAGGTCAACAGGGAGGAAGGAAAGAAAGGAAGGAGAAAGAAGGAGAGACAGAAGGAGAAAGAGGGAGAGACGGAAGGAGAGAAGAAAGATGGATAGAAGGAAGGGAGGGAGGGAGGAAAAAGAGGAGGAAGGACAAAAGGGAGGAAAAGAACAATGGAAGGAGAAAGAGGGAGGGAGGGAGGAAGGAAGGAGAGAAGGAAGGAAAGACAAAAGGGCAGGAAGGAGAAAAAGAGTGGAAGGGAAGGATGGAAGTAAAGAGGGGCAGGAGGAAGGAAAAAGAGAAGGAACGAAGGATGAAATGGTGAAAGGGAATGGAGGGAGGGAGAAAGAGGTAGGGAAGAGAGGAAAGAGAGAAGGGAAGACAAAAGAAAGAACGAAGGGAGGAGAAAGAGGGAGAAAGAGAAGGGAAGGAGAACAAAAAGGTGGAAGGGAAGGAGGAAGGAAAGAGAGAAGGAAGGAAGGATAGGATGGTGAGAAAGGATGGCCTGAGAAAAGAGCCCAAAGGGCCGCATTTGGCCCCTGAGCCTGAGTTTGCCCATACCTGATTTAGAGGCATGAAAATCAAATGGGTCATGTCTTTCTTCCTTTTTCTTCTTTGTTTCTCTAGATAGTTAAATTTGACGTTCTGACGAAGCAGAGGCTTCACTGGCAGGAAGAACACTGTTGGCCGGCTGAACCAGTCTTCGTTCCTAGTCCTAATGCCAAAGAAGAAGATGATGGTAGGCAACATGGCAACCGTATAACTGGAGAGCAGTGATTTAGAACCAAATTTGTAGAATGTTAAATCCCATTTAACCCCTCTTGAAACCAGTGTGGTCTTATTAACTGCAAGTAAAGCTTGCATTTCAAAAATAGCAAATAGAGAAATATGTCGTGTTACAACAGCGTTTCTCAACCTGGGGGTCGGGACCTCGGGAGGGGGGTCATGAGGGGGCATCAGAGGGGTCGCCGAAGGCCATCACATAACACAGTATTTTCTGTTGGTCATGGGGGTTCTGTGTGGGACGTTTGGCCCAATTCTATTGTTGGTGGGGTTTAGGATGCTCTTTGATTGTAGGTGAACTATAAATCCCAAATGTCAAGGTCTCCCCCCCCCCCCCCACAAACTCCACCAGTGATCACATTTGGGCATATTGAGGATTTATACCAAGTTTGGTCCAGATCCATAATTGTTTTAAGTCCACAGTGCTCGCTGGATGTAGATGAACTACAACTCCAAAACCAAAGGACACTGCCCACCAAACCCTTCCAGTATTTTCTGTTGGTCGTGGGAGTTCTGTGTGCCAAGTTTGGTTCAATTCCATCGTTGCTGGAGTTCAGAATGCTCTTTGATTGTAGATGAACTATAAATCCAGGCAATTACAACTCCCCAATGACAAAATCAATCTCACCCAACCTCACCAGTATTCAAATTCAGGTGTATTGGGTATTTGCGCCAGAGAAGGTGGTGAAAAAGGAGAGGAAAAAGAGCTTTTGGGGGTGAGGGAGGTGGGAGAGAAGCAGGAAAGAGGAGGGAAAGCTTCGAGGAGGAAGGGGGAACCGAGGAGCCCCTCCAGATCCTTCACAGAGCCCCAAGAGCTCCCTGGAGCACACTTTGAGAGCCACTGACTTAGAGGATGCCCAACTAGGAGGAAAGCAAAGCAACACTTAGCCTCCGCACGTAGGCCTCTGTAACAGATGTAACAGATTTGGCATTTGGAAGTGTCTTATCAGCACTTTAAAATGCTGAACCAACTCCTTGAGATTAAGGACCTTTTATCTAAGCAAAATCAGAGAGTCTGCAAACTCAACCGCATTACGGGTTTCATCACCTTCTGTTGCCATTTCTATTTAGCATGGATTATGGATAAGAGGAAGACATAAACAAGCATGAAGAAGGCTGTAAAATGGTTCATTGAATGATTTAAGATCTGCCTCTCAATCTGAGCATTAAGTGCTTGAATTTAAAATGTTACTGCCATTATTTAGCAAAACCTCAGCATAGGTGCTCTTTGGCACCCGAGTGAAAGGTGGTAAGATTAGAAGGGCTGAGTGGAAAGACATCTTCAACCATATAACATAGAGCAGTGGTTCTCCACGTTCCTGGTGCCACAGCCCCAAAATACCATTCCTCATGCTGTGGTGACCCCCAACCATAACATTATTTTCATTTGTGTTTTCTTAACTGTAATTTTGCTACTGTTAGGAATCATAATGCAAATATCTGATATGCAGGATGTATTTTCATTCACTGGACCAAATTTGGCACAAATACCCGATACACACAAATTTGAATACTGGTGGGGTTTGGACGGGATTGATTTTGTCATTTGGGAGTTGTAGTTGCTGGGATTTAGAGTTCAACTACAATCAAAGATCATTCTGAACTTCACCAATGATGAAATTGAACCAAACTTGGCACACAGAACTCCCATCACCAACAGAAAACACTAGAAGGGTTTGGTGGGCATTGACCTTGAGTTTCGGAGTTGTAGTTCATCTATATCCAGAGAGCGCTGTGGACCCAAATATTGATGGATCTGGACTAAGCTTGGCATGAAAACTCAATATGCCCAAATGTGAACACTGGTGGAGTTTGGGGAAGGTAGACCTTGACATTTGAGAGTTGTAGTTGCTGGGATTTATAGTTCACCTAAAATCAAAGAGCATTCTGAACCCCACCAATGATAGAATTGGGCCAAACTTCCCACACAGAACCCCAAATACCAACAGAAAATACTTTGTATTGTCGAAGGCTTTCATGGCTGAAATCACTGGGTTGTTGTGGGTTTTTCAGACTATATAGCCATGTTCAAGAAGCATTCTTTCCTGATGTTTCGCCTGCATCTATGGCAAGCATCCTCAGAGGTTGTGAGGATGCTTGCCATAGATGCAGGTGAAGCGTCAGGAGAGAATGCTTCTAGAACATGGCCATATAGCCCTAAAAACCTATAACAACCCAGAAAATACTTTGTTTTCTGATGGCGTTTGGCGACCCATCTGACACCTCCTTGTGACCCAGGTGTCTTGACCCCAGGTTGAGAAACGCTTGCATAGAGACTTGGGGTCCCTGAACTCTCCCGCAATATATTTTACCTAGAGTTCTTGGAAATATTAGTCCAAAAATGTCACTGTTCCATGCACAAAGCAGCATTGTAAGTTGACTAAACTATGGATGTAAACCATATAAACAAGGCATGGGCAGTCTTTGGCTCTCCAGATATTTTGGACTTCAATTCCCACCATTCCTAACAGTCTCAGGCCCTTTCCTTTTCCCCCTCAGCCGCTTAAGCTGAGGGGGAAAAGGAAAGGGCCTGAGGCTGTTAGGGATGGTGGGAACTGAAGTCCAAAACACCTGGAGGTAGGGCCCAAGTTGGCCCATATCTGGTACAGACCTATATAGGACACATTGAGGCCATGTCTCTTTGGTCAAGACTATCTCTGTTGATAATCTGGAGTGTGTTCCTGTCTAAGTGAGCACCCAGCCTTCATGCATTCATACTTGTTCCTCCTGGTATTGCTGATTTAATTGGGAGTGTTACACCCATATGTTTTGACACATCACTTTCCTTTGTCAGTCAGCTCTGTTGCATTTATTTACCTGCCCTTCTTGCAAGCAACATAGGGTGTTGTTTGTGGGTTTCTCCCACTTTGTCTTCACAAAAACAACTCTGGTGGTATAATTTAGGCTGAGGATCTGGCCATGTTTCCAAGCATCATAATTTTCACTGTTATTATTATGAGGGTTATCTGGAAAGTAAGGTTACAAGATTTTAAAAAAAATAATCAAAGAATAAATATATGGATTGTAACATAGGTATTACATTATTTTTCCACATAATCACCATTCAGTTCAATACATTTTGTCATCCATGGAATGAGTTTTTCATGCCTGGGTCATAGAAGTTTCCCTCTGTCTTTTTCAATCGGTTCATCACTTCGATTTTCACCTCATTGTCATCAGAAGGTGTTCCTTCAATTTAGTGAACAGATGATAGTCACTGGATGCGAGATCGGGTCTGTGGGAGGAGTGGATTAAAACATCCCAACCAAATGAAGTCAGCAACTCTTTTGATGCTTGTGTGGTGTGCGGACGCGCATTGCCATGAAGGAAACAGACTCCTGCCATCAGCATCCCATGGTGTTTGTTTTGGAAGGCTCTGTGAAGTTTCTTCATGGTCTCACAATATATTCTGTTCCCATTTTGTCACATGCTGTCTTGACATTATGTCTTCTCCATAAACTGAAACGATTTCGCGATGAATCGCAGTGGTATTCATGCCCTTAGCATTTAGGTAGCGTATTACTGCGGTATTATGATAAAGACTGCTCAAACTTCCATACAGTGGCACTTATTTCTCATGCCAGTAAGGTAATGCCCAAGATCCTGCAAGGAAGACTCCAGCAAGACATGGAGTGAGAGTTGCCAGATGGGCAGAAAAGGCAGAGGAACGAGAGACCCAATTGCCAATATCCGCTAGATAATGGAGAAAGGCAGGAAGTGTCAGAAAAACATCTATTTCTGTTTCATTGACTATTCCAAAGCCTTTGACTGTGTGGATCATAATAATTTGTGGCAAGTTCTTGGTGATATGGGGATACCAAATCACCTTGTCTCTCTTCTGAGGAATCTGTATAAGGACCAAGTAGCAACAGTCAGAACTGACCATGGAACAACAGACTGGTTCAAGATTGGGAAAGGCGTACAGCAGGGTTGTATACTCTCCCGTGACCTATTCAACTTGTATGCAGAACACATCATGCGAGGATGTGCAGGGCTTGACAAATGCAAGGCTGGGGTAAAAATTGCTGGAAGAAACATTAACAACCTTAGATATGCAGATGACACCACTTTGATGGCCGAAAGCGAGGAGGAGCTGAGGAGCCTTCTAATCAAGGTGAAAGAAGAAAGCGCAAAAGCTGGGTTGCAGTTAAACATCAAGCCAAGAAGCCAAGATGAAGTACTTTGGCCACATCATGAGAAGACAGGAAAGCTTAGAGAAGACAGTTATGCTGGGGAAAATGGAAAGAAAATAGGAAGAGGGGCCGACCAAGGGCAAGATGGATGGATGGTATCCTTGAAGTGACTGGATTGACCTTGAAGGAGCTGGGGGTAGTGACGACTGACAGGGAGCTCTGGCGTGGAGTGGTCCATGAAATCACGAAGAGTCGGAAACGACTGAATGAATGAACAACAATTACAGTGGTAACTTTGCACTTGGAGGGAAACAGAATGAGGACGCTCATCTCTAACCTTTACCACAACGTCAGTTGATGAGCTACTGACGACTGGCACTGCTCATTCACTTCCACTGGCTTCCCGCTACATGGCAGTGATATCAACTCCCCCCCCCCCCCCCCGAAAATTCCCTGTGAAAACTACGTGCCTTGTAACCTTACTTTCATATATTGTAACCTCATATATTCACCTGACTTATGGTGACTTTGTGAATGAGAGACCTCCATGTTACCCACACCCCTGCTTAAATGACAAGAATGCAGTGGTTGTGACTTCCTTGACTGAACCAACCCAACTGTTATGTGTCCACAATACCTAAAAAAACTCTCATCCAGAATTGCATTTCAAATGAGTTGATTCTGTCCTGATGGCCATGTATAAATATATGAGAGGAAATCATAGGGAGGAGGGAGCAAGCTTGTTTTCTGCTGCCCTGAAGAGTAGTGATGGTATACGTTTCTGGCCCAACTTTCTTGTCCAAATGCATCCACCCCTAAGTCCCACCTCAAAACCTAAGATCATCCAGGGAGGCCCTGCTCTCGCTCCCGTCAACAACACAAATGCGCCTGACGTTGACGAGAGACAGGGCCTTCTCGGCGGTGGCTCCCCACCTATAGAACACACTCCCAACTGAGGTAAGGTCAGTCACCTCCCTCCTGACTTTTCGAAAAAAATTAAAGACATGGTTTTGGGACCAGGCTTTTGGACAATAGATGTAAGCAGCACCTTAAAGGGACTTGACTGGAATGACGATATAGCTGATGAGATTGTTTTGCTGTTTTTAATGATGGCTTATGCATTGTTTAATTATGTTTTATGTTCAATTGTGATTTTATTATTGTAATTGTTATGTAGTGGCCTCGTAATAGGGCCCATTGTAAGTCGTACTGAGTCCCCCTTCGGGGGTTGAGAAGCGACGGGATAGAAATATGAGAAATAAATAAATAAAGCACAGAACAATGGCCTCAAACTACAGGAAAGGAGATTCCACCTGAACGTTAGGAAGAACTTCCTGATTGTGAGAGCTGTTCAGCAGTGGAACTCTCTGCCCCTAAGTGTGGTGGAAGCTCCTCCTTTGGAGGCTTTAAAGCAGAGGCTGGATGGCCATCTGTTTAAGGTGCTTTGAATGTGATTTTCCTGCTTCTTAGCAAGGGGTTGGACTGGATGGCCCATGAGGTCTCTTCCAACTCTAGGATTCTACAATTCCCATCAGCTTTGTTCATGCTCTGCTTTCACAACATTACATAGAAATACAGTAGCATGAACAATCCTGACTTATTTATTTCTACACTTCAGGATCTTGTCCTGTTCCTTCATAGCACTTTGTCAGAAAGTGAAGTCAATCCCATGAGGAAAAGATTGCATTGAGTATAAATTAACACATGCACACTGTCATTTTCTGCTTTATTTTCTGGCGAAAAAACGATTGTGATGCCTCCTCTGTTGTACCTTTAGGTATCATCCTCTCACCCATCGTGACATCAGAACCTCAAAAACTGCCTTTCCTGCTGATACTGGATGCCAAAACATTCAAAGAAATTGCCCGAGCCATTGTTGATGTAAAGCTCCACTTGGACTTACATGGCTGCTTCATCCCACAGAAGGATTTGAAAACAGAACATGAGGGAGATTTGGACAGAGAAGAAGAATAAAGCCCGGCTCTGTCTTATACAACAATCATGTGCAAGGCCTGCTGTAAACAATTGAGAAATTTTTTTAACCTCCAGTCTTCCGTGGCTGTGGCTTTGTAGTGACCAGAGCTGCTCAAGTAATGGCATTGTGCTGGCACAGTGTATATGTGGCACTTTAGCATTTATTGTTTCATACTGTGTGATCCAAGGCCATCCTGCATTGTTAAAGAGAATGCTGCAGAGATGCCTCTTCCCTCTCACCCCCCAAAATCTGTGGAAGCAGGAGCAATATCTCGAGCACAAAGGCTTTAATGCCAGTTGCGTAGTGGTAAATTTGGAAGCCCAACTGTGATTTTCACCCACTGGCTGTACATTTGGCCTCTGGTGCAACCAAGTGCACATCTGTTCCATCCAAATCTCCTCCAAAACCCCTTCAGATACTCCGAAGGGATGGGGATATATATGGCATGTGCAATCCATGCTTCTAAATGGTTCTAAAGCACTTGCAAAACTAAAATTTTGGTGGTGAAAACTAGGAGATGCTGGTGCTTTGCTTCTACAGTGTTGCGAAAGTTCTGGTGGTGAAAATTTCAGAACTCTAACAAAACTTTCAAAATTTCATTATTATTTCATTGATTATTTTTATGACAGAACCAATTAGGAACTGCCATTTATAATGAAATTTTGAAAGTTTTGTTAGTTTTGTTCAATCCCACCAGTGTTCACTGGACCAAATTTGTGCCAATTTGGTTCAATTCCATCGTTGGTGGATTTCAGAATGCTGTTTGATTTTAGGTGAACTGTAAATCCCAACAACTACAACTCCCAAACGTCAAGGTCTGTTTTCCCCAAATTTCACCAGTGTTCACTTTTGGGCATATCGGGCATTTGTGCCAAATTTGGTCCAGTGAATGAAAATATATCCTACATATCAGATATTTACATTATGATTCATAACAGTAGCAAAATTAGAGTTATGAAGTAGCAATAAAAATAATGTTATGGTTGGGGAGTCACCACAACATGAAGAACTATATTAAGGGGTTGCGGCATTAGGAAGATTGAGAACCATTGCATTAGTGTTTGTCCCTTTATGTTGAAGCAGTTCCCAATGCACAGTATGAAGTAGGGATGTCATTACAGGGCCACAAACGGGACATGGCACAGAACTGAATAGGATGCCCAGATGATTTGAAGAGTGCAAAGTGATCTCAAAGTGATTTCTAGTTCAGAACAACAACATCCAAAGAACCTTATTGCACTGTAGGTGCACAAGGTTTGCAGGTTAGTGAGATGTTGTTGTGGTTCAGAAGTTGATGGCCCCATGTCTTGTGCTGATTTGTGGGGAAGCGATTCCACTCGTGTGCCTTTTGTTGTCTTCTGAACGAAAACAAGTCTTTCAGGTTTTCACAATAACGTCTAATACATTCCTATCTATCTTTACTTTGCAGTTACAAACAGCCTTGTGATAGGGAACCAAACACAGGCTTGCAGCAAGGGTTGACCTTGTCCAAGGGAAGCCTGGGTTGTGCTTAAGGGGGACAGTGTTAACGCTACATCACTTTGCACAACCCACACACAGTTTTGCCACTTCATCTGCTGGCTTCTGTGAATTATGCCATCATAATTTCAAAGCAGCCTTGAACTAACAAAAAAAAATTGACAGTGGTTTTGAAATACATTTATACTGTCATGCATACAACTGTGGCCAGTATGGGGTTCTTGTTCTCTTTGTGGTGCCAAGATCTATTGCTGCAGCATATTTGTGGCAGCATTAGCAAAGTATTTGAGTCTCTGCAATGTTTTTGTGACTGTGAGCTGCTTGAGCAAGCGTGTTTACAACGTGAGTCACTCTTGCCTACTTTTATGTAATCTGCTCATCAAGGCCTTGCAAATGCCAAACCAGAGGGGGGGAAACCCCTCATTAATCTCGACTTTGTCAGAATTGTCATTGTTTTAGGAACAATTGTCATCTGATTTGGGTGCTTTTATTTCCTCCATTCAGCGGTCAAAGTGAAATGTCAAATCAAGGTGCTAAAGATATTTTTTGACCAGATATTTAGATGTAGCTTCTGTTGCTGAAATGAATCTCCGGGGGCTTTTGAAGGAAGACCGTTCGCTGGGAAATAATCATGCTTTGTTTCAAATTCCGCGTGTTTTGTGTATTGTAAAATTATATTTTGATTATATGCAAAGCAAGCCTTTTTTTAGTCATTCCATTATGTTTGTTCTGTGAGAACATCTAATACAGCATTTCTCAACCTGGGGTTTGGGACCCCTGGGGAGGGGTCGCGAAGGGGTGTCAGTGGTGTTGCCAAAGATTGTCAGGAAATACAGTATTTTCTGTTGGTCATGGGGGTTCTATGTGGGAAGTTTGGTTCAATTCCATCGTTGGTGGGGTTCAGAATGCTGTTTGATTGTAGGTGAATTATAAATCCCAGCAATTACAACACCCAAATGTCAAGGTCTATTTTCCTAAAACTTCACCAGTGTTCACCTTTGGGCATATTGAGAATTTCTATCAAGTTTGGTCCAGATCCATGATTGTTTAGATCCACAGTGTTCTTTGGATGTAGTTGAACTACAACTTCCAAACTCAAGGTCAATGCCCACCAAACCCTTCCAGTATTTTCTGTTGGTCATTGGAGTTCTTTATGCCAAGTTTGGTTCAACTCCATCATTGGTGGAGTTCAGAATGCTCTTTGATTGCAGGTGGACTATAAATCCCAGCAACTACAACTCCCAAATGTCAAGGTCTGTTTTCCTCCAAATTCCACAATTGTATACAGTTGGGCATATTGAGGATTCCTGCCAAGTTTGGTCCAGATCCATCCTTCTTGAGTCCACAGTGCTCTCTGGATGTAGGTATCAGGATGCTCTTTGATTGCAGGTGAACTATAAATCCCAGCAACTACAACTCCCAAATGTCAAAGTCTACTTTCCCCTCAAAACTCCACAAGTGTTCACATTTGGGCATATTGAGGATCCGTAACAAGTTTGGTCCAGATCCATCCTTGTTTGAGTCCACAGTGCTCTCTGGATGTAGGTGAACTACAATTTAATATTATTATTTATTTATCTATGAAATTTTTATTCTGCCTTTCTGAGCCTGAAGGCGACTCAAGGCAGCTTACAAATTGGCCGCAATTCAATGCCTTAATAGTCATAAAATACAATTAAAAACATTGAAAAACAACATTATAAAAATCCTTAGAAAACAATTAATTATATATTTATATTACATGTAATATTACTAATAATATTACAGTATAATTGATATAGTACAATATAGCAATATTTAAAACTGATATTGTACTATGTTAATAATATATTGTATGTATATATACCTTGTAAGCCGCTCTGAGTCCCCTTCGGGGTGAGAAGGGCGGCATATAAATGTCGTAAATAAATAAATAAATAACGTATCATCATCAGTGTCTTCCTATTAATCTCATTTTCCAGTAGCATTGTCTAGTCCGTTCCATGTTTCACTCTTTCATAGTTCCATGTTTCTCTGTTACGCTGCATTTCCAAAGGTTTGTTCAAAGAGCCAGGTTTTTACTTTTTTCCAGAAAGTCAAGGTCAAAGCTCAAGCTCAATGCCCACCAGACCCTTCCAGTATTTTCTCTTGGTCACAGTGTTCTCTGAATATAGTTGAACTACAACTTCCAAACTGAAGGTCAGTGCCCACCAAACCCTTCCAGTATTTTCTGTTGGTAGTGGGAGTTCTGTGTGCCAAGTTTGGTTCAATTCTATCGATGGTGGAGTTCAGAAAGTAGCAATGAAAATAATGTTATGGTTGGGGGTCACCACAACATGAGGGACTATATTAAGGGGTCGTGGCATTAGGAAGCTTGAGAACCACTGTTCTAATACAAGTTTGGTGTGTTTACTGCCTCATAAGTGAATAGTGCTTTGTCATTTTGTGAGAAGCCAGACCGGTTCTCCATTTGTGCTTGTACGTTTTGGTTTCACAGGCTGCCTATTTAAGAGAAATAACCAAGTTAACTTTAAGCTTCGAATCCAGAGACGCTGGCAATTATCAGCTGCAAAGTAAATTACACGTGTTGCTAACACAGATCACAATCATCATGGTGTTCCCTGAGGTCAATCCAGCATAGCATGTAAATAGAATTGAGATAAATGTACCCAAGTACAGTATTACAAAGCCTGAAGTGAGTGAAAGCTAGATATGATTTGGTTTCAACCTAAAATATGTATGATACAAAAGGTAATGAGCATCTGATAGAGCCGTTGAAAACATATAATCTAATTATCTTGTGTCATGAATATGTAAGTTGTGCCAACCTTGCCCATTAGGAATGTGCCGAGCATGTGGTAAGATATAAGCCTCATACATATTTGCGGTGCTCAATATTTAGGGCTGTTTCTACTAAGTAAATCCTATGCCTCCCAAGGTTTTACAGGGTTGCTGTGAGTTTTCCGGACTATATGGCCATGTTCCAGAAGCATTCTCTCCACATCTATGGCAGGCATCCTCAGAGGCTGTGAGGTCAGTTGGAAACTAGACAAGTGAGGTTTATATCTATGGAATAATGTCCAAAGTGGGAGAAAAACTCTTGTCTGCTTGAGGCAAGTGTGAATGTTGTAATTTTCCAGCTTGATCAGTATTGAATAGCCTTGCAGCTTCAAAGCCTGGCTGCCTCCTGCAGTGAAGAGAGAGGAGGGCAGAAGACAGTTCCATCTTGTCTCCTGCCTATGTCATCGGTTGGGAACCCCCCCCCCCAACTTCTGCTCTGGGCCAGAGTGAAGAGAGAGGGGGGCAGAAGATAGTTCCACCTTGTCTCCTGTGCTTTACTATTAATATAATATAATATAATATAATATAATATAATATAATATATTGTATATAAATATAATATTTGTAATATTTTAATGTAATACAATGTAATACTACTAATAATAATACAATAGTATAATTATATATTTTATATTACATGTAATTTGTAACTTATCTATCCGAACGTATCTCAGCCTATCAGCCCACCAGGACCCTAAGATCTTCTGGAGAGTCCCTGCTCTCTATCCCGCCGGCTTCACAAGTGCGGTTGGCGGGAACGAGAGACAGGGCCTTCTCTGTGGTGGCCCCTCGGCTTTGGAACACCCTCCCTTTAGAGGTACGATCAGCCTCTACGCTGATGGTGTTTCGGAAGAGACTGAAAACATGGTTGTTCAAACAAGCATTTGGCTAGTACGTTGCAACCGAATGTTGATGACTAAAGGACTGACAATCACGGACGACGAATTTGGATTGGGATTTTAGTTACGAGATGCATCGGATTTTTATTGGTGGCCCAATAATTTGTATTGTAATTGTGTTTCATGTTTTTAATATGGTATTGTTCTTAACTGTTGTAAACCGCAATGAGTCGCCGATTTCGGCTGAGATATTAGCGGTATACAAGTCTATAAATAAAATAAATAATAATAAATAAATAAATAAATTTGGACACAATACACCTATCAGGCCAACAAGTGACCATTACTCATAAAAACACTGCAAAACACAGCAGAAGAGACTTTAAAAGTCAAGACATAAAAATACATTACAATGCATGTGCAAAACCACATATATACACCTATATAAACACACAAAACATATATACACAGACTGGGCCACAGCAATGCGTGGCAGGGGACAGCTAGTAGTACAATACAGTAATATATAATACTGATATTGTACTATGCTAATAATATAATATATTGTATGTATATATATCTTGTAAGCCACTCTGAGTCCCCTTCGGGGTGAGAAGGGCGGCATATAAATGTTGTAAATAATTATATATAAAAATAAATAAAAATTATTTGAGAACGCAGAAATTCTGGACCACCCTAACAACTACCATGTCAGACTACTTAGAGAAGCTACTGAAATCCACAGGCACGTGGACAATTTCAACAGAAAAGAGGAAATCATGAAAATGAATAAAATCTGGCCGCAATTATTTTTTAAAAAAAACCTCTAAAATCAGGACAGAAAATAAAGAGCATCACTCAGGAAACAGGGGAATTCCAAACCGGAAACAATCAGGGCCAGCCAACACCTCCCAAAAAATATTCCCCCAGGCAGGAAGCAGCCAGGCTTTGAAGCTTCGAGGCCGTTCAATGCTAATCACTGAATTTTGTAAATCTATTTTGCATTTATCATGTTCATTTTGTCTTTTGAATATCAACATGGGCTTCCTTTGCTTAAGCCCTACACTTGGAAGGCAATCATACTTGGCCACGAGTGATAGTCTATGGATGAATGACAATGGATGCAATGGGGGGGGGGGGGGGGGGGGGGGATGGGATTATTTATTTATTTATCTATTTATTTGCGGTATTTATATTCCGCCTTTCTCACCCCGAAGGGAACTCAGTGAATCACAGAGCACATATACGGAAAACATTCACTGCCTTTTTTATTATATTCAGAATTCGCTTAATATCTGGTTTGACCCTTCGTGTGTTGAATGTGGTGTGGCGTAAAGTAAAATAAACCATGTTTAATGTATTGTCAAAGGCTTTCATGGCTGGAATCACTCAGTTCCTGTGGGTTTTTTCGGGCTATATGGCCATGTTCTAGAGCAGGGGTAGGGAACCTTTGGCCCTCCAGCTGTGGTGGACTTCAACTCCCACAATTCCTTGAGGCTCGGCATTGGGCCAAGGTAAGCCTTTGGGGCGAATGCCGAGCCTCAAGGAATTGTGGGAGTTGAAGTCCACCACAGCTGGAGGGCCAAAGGTTCCCTACCCCTGTTCTAGAGGCATTTCTCCTGACGTTTCGCCTGCATCTAAGGCAAGCATCCTCAGAGGTGAGGTCTAGAACATGGCCATATAGCCCGAAAAAACCCACAAGAACTAAACCATGTGTAGTTCACATTTGATCAGCCCACACACTGCCTTGCCATAGAAAGAAAATATGCCATGCAGGTGAACATTAATGAACAAGTAGTTTGCTCTTCTTAAATCCAGAACAACATATGTACAGTGTGATCAGTTGCACCAACTCACATAATGTCCTTTTATGAGAGTTTCAAAATAGTCTTTCTTTGTCTATGTGGAGAAACTCCTTCAGCAACTCATGAAGCAAGAGTACACCCCAAACTCTATCTCTCTGCTTCTCTCTTCTTCTCTCTCTGCACCTGCATAGCTCAAGCCTGAACAAAAATGTAACGGTAACCAAATGTCCCAGGCTCATCCATCTCCCTGGGCATTGCCCAATCAACCAGCTTCATGCATATTATTTTACAGCTGACACACTCACTGATTCCTTGCATGCTCCAACATGTGGTCCCTACAAACATTCATGCTGTCGTAACTCTGGATAGATTCACCTTGCTCAAGACACCACCAAACACCAAGGCTGTAGGTTTTGTAGTTTATTGAGAAAAAGCAAAATCAAAACAGAAATAAAGATGCAAAAGTTCAATAGGCAAAACAGAGT